ATGTCACCAGATAGTATGAGAAGAGCACTTTGGTATATCAGAGTAAGAGTAGTGTTTACCTTTTCGTCGTTAGATGCGAGATGTGAAATCCTCCATGAACATCCATTGTGAAAGTTAATCTCAATATCCCGATAGAGCTGTGTGAGTGTACAGCCTACCATGACAATACAGAAGATCACAAACGTCACACTAACAATCCGGTAGCTTGTGTCCATCCCGGGTGACCATCGGCTGGTCGGTGTGTAGTGGTCACTGTCATGACTGTCACTTCAGCGGGAACTGAGCTTGGGTCAGTGATAAAAAGTCCCAATTCTATATCTCCAGAGTTCGATCGAGATACCCATATTCTCAGATTCAGTGGTTTATTAAATTTCGTTGCAGAAACAGATATATATTCCGGGTCGAACGTACTTATTGGTGAATTATAAACATGGAATGCTCGGACCGATGTTTCGCACGACCGCTCTCTCAGGGGACATAACTCAATTATATACTCATGAACGACAGAGGCATCCAAGTTTGGGTTAAAAGTTTTAATAGACCTTCTTCGCACATTGGCGGTTACATTTGAACTGAGCATGGGAACACATGTACAGGTACTTCCGGAAGATACAAGGGAGTTAATTGTTTTTGTATTTTACATACCGCTAAAAACAAATGAGCAAAGTGACTGATGCGTACGTACAATATCCACAAAACAATATAACTACAGTTAACTCCAACATAAAAGATTGGTTATAGATTATCAGGGCTCTTGCTGATATGACCTAAGATCATGCAATGCACTCATCCGAGATAGGAGCCTTCGTCACATCCATCACCTGTGGCTACTACTAAAAGCAGTGTAAACTTTTTCGGACCACATGAGTGAGCTCATGATTTCAGCTGGAGCAGCACAGTATACGAGGGTAGTTTTGACCATACAGACTGCAGTTTAAAGCTCTGCATCATATGAAACAGACAGTCATAGACACGACACCTTCAAGGAACTGAAACTGGCATCTTTGGGATGATCTATGGAACCTTTGAAATGCAGTTCAGCCAGATACACCTTTGTCGATAAATTAGCTGCCCTTGATGTTTTATTTCCAGAATCCATGCCAACAATGCTGGACCAAGAAGAATTTGCTTCAGATTTTCAAAGTTTGATTAAAGGTCACATGCAACGTAAAACACAACTTTGCAGATTCTGATACCTTTCCATATGGACTTACCGAAACAAATCGTCAAAAATGCAAATTCAAGTTATAAAGTTGAAAAATAACGCGATGAAAAAAAACGCGCGAAATCGGAGTTCAAACGTTTCACTAATTTTCCCCAGACTTTTCTGGGGAATACGGGTTTCAACAGCTGGGCTGCGCTCATAGCACGTGCGCAGTGAAATAGGTTTGCGCAACTTGGAAGCGGGCTGTCTGGTGAATACTCGGTGCAGGCTTTGGTGTGAGCTATTTTCATAATGTTTTGTTGATATCTCACAGGCTGAGCTTTTTATATGTTATGACGGTAAAAACTGTTCATATAATTTCATTTGTCTATTTCACCACACGTTCTTCTTACCGAGTCACTTTCTCAGTTCGATACTTAAAAGCAATGTCATTATTTAGCGTTGACACAATTTCTAACTGTGATATAGATATGTCGTTGTCACAGACAAAACTCAATGTCTTGTGTTATTGACACCTATGTGTCTGCCTGCCAGTCTGCTAATGACAATATTCAATACACAACTGCGATCACTGACCACATGCAATTTGAACTTAACACCAATCAGGCTATACACCATAAACAAAACGCATTGATTTATGGCCCGAGTTCGGTCTCTGTCACATTAGGTAATTACACGGACAGGCAGGTGTGATACTTGAACACATGACATGTTATGATGTCTGTTGATTGCAAAATGTTATACACAAAAAATGAGCATGTATTTACAAAACCCAACATCTCTATATATACACACACAATGAGCCGGCGGCATCTGCTAATGAACCAGCCGTAACACTTGAGTGCACACCCACCCGCTCTGACTGGGTTCGGTATCCCAGCTGCTTCGTTTCGAGGGAGGTAAACCTAAGTACAAAATATTGCACTTTTGATTTGCGATTATACGCTTATAATTTTGTTTATTTGTTTTTTCATAATCAGCAATGCATATTATATGTCATGAAGAAGTGATAATTGTGTTTTAATTATGTTTGATTTTTTGTTTGCATGTGACCTTTAAGCTCCCTTCTTCAATATCAGACAAAATGCAAGTTTCCACAGTCATCTTTTCAATCCAAGATATTGAAGGATTTGAATAAAGGCCTAGCCTCTCAAGTATTTGGACCGTCTGGGACTCTCATCATTGCAGGGCTGAGACTCTTATGCGTCATACAACAAAGCCTTATCCTTAAAAATATTGCCTTCTCGAGATAAAGGTTTCAAGAATTTGTGGTCAAGATTCTGGAGCACCTTTCTGTCAAAGACAGTTGAATTAGCAACTATGACTAATCTGTGCAGTTGATCAATAACATCCACCTCAACTATTGGTTCGTCTCAGGTATTAGGAAGATGCTCCCTCTTACTAGGAGCGGACACAGCAGACAACCCATCATAATTATGTAAAATTGGAGATTACTGGGATACAACACAGAAGCTTTATGGCCCCAAGATAGAATGGCGAAAGCAGTGTTCCACTGTTAAGCGTTATAAGCCAACCTGCCAGCCCAGCTTACCTTATTAAGACAGGATCATCACCTACACCGTCCTGTTTCCAGAGAATCGAAATATGCAGTATTCACAACCTCCAGTTGATCGACTATTCACATAAGAATCCAGCAAAACAAGTCCTATTTAATTGTCAGGGGCCCATCAGGGAACACTGGTCCCACAAAAGAAGGCCTGGGGGGGGGGGCGATCTCCATCATGACAGCAAGAGCAAGCCCAAGACGCCATCCAGAGGATATAAGAAAAGTTACCAAGTCAGGAATTATGGCAAGTCTGGACCGAAACCCAGTTAACTCTTTACTAATCTCCCAGACAGCAGAAGACGGACTCTACACAATGATTCTTGAAACAGATGCCAGCATTCTCTATGAAGGTATTGCAGGGTCCAGTGGGCATCAGTGTGTCTTCTTTTATTGAGAATTGGTAGATCATTGAACGACCAGTGAGTGGATCCTCAAAGGTCATCAAAGAGTGATATCGTCTTCAGTTTGCCATGAGATCTCCTCATGTGACACATCCAGTAGGGCATGGTTGTTATCTCCAGGATCCCAATTTTTCAGCGACAATAGACAAGGTCTTGGCCAAGAAAGCTGTAGTCCAGTTGAACCTTTTGGACACTAGACTTGGGTTCTACTCTCCAGTATTGCTGGTTCCCAAAAATGATTCCACAGACCTCAGAATAGCTATTGATCTGAAGATCCAACCGGGAATATCTGAGACAACCAAGTTTCGGATGAAGTCCATGCAGAATCTCAGACAGACGATTTCCATGACTCAGATTTCCATAGATCTGCAAGATGGGTAGCTACATAAGCCTATTTATGCAGACTCTATGTTTTGCTGTCAATGGGAGAATATTCCAGTTCAGAGTGATACCGTTCCGGACATCAGTAGCTCCACAACTGTTTATGATTATAACAGCTTCTACTGGCAAACAAGGATGAGCACTGACCTGACAATTGCCAGTAGCATATCTACATCTAGAACAAAAACTAATTCTTGATTATCTATTTTCTGTCTCTAAATGCGAAAGTAGAATCCTGTTTAGACGACTCTGTATATCTGCAAGATTTCTTCGGGAATTTGGGGTTTCTGGTACATCTGGACAAATCAGAGCTTCAACCCAAGTGAATACATAGCAGCCATATTGGACTCACATTAAGGTCTCATCACCTCTTCACAGATGCCTCACTGGATAAGGAGCTCATCTAGAAGACAAGATGGTATAAGGTCTCTGGGAGTAAGATTTGCTAGTCCAGAACAACATCCTGGAAATGACAACAGTATCATTAGCCATCCAGATAGTGATCAAATGGGAACAATATTGTATGGATCTGGATATCATGACAATGTCCACTTATGCCTTTCCATGAACAGCTCTCATCCAACAAGTCCTAGCCAAAATTAGAACAATGTGGCACCAGCATGTCCACCATTCCCAGATCAGCTATCTGTACTTGTAGACTAACCAATATGTCTTTCGCATTGGTCAACATTTATACAACCATTATCAAGAGACATTCCCAGGTTTGTTGCAATAACAAAATGCAGGTCTATTTGTCTAATCAGTAAACATCTAGATTTGTGAGTTTTATGGTTGTCTTCCTCACCTAGTTTGGGGTTACTCTGGCCCACAAAGCTAATGTTGAATTCTGGAATCAAGTGTGAAAGGGACGTATTTGTAAGAACTTTGGAATATATCAACAATGATAATAATTCTTAGAATACCACCTCCATCACCTGAAGTACAGGCTCACGTATCCTTCTCTGGGATTCCACAGTACCGTCCTTAAGGTACCCAAGGAAATATTGTGAGGTTCCCATGCTTGTCTTAAGATGCGACTAACGGGATCTGGTGGTCAGGCTCGCTGACTTGGTTGACACATGTCATCGGTTCCCAATTGCGCAGATCGATGATCATGCTGTTGATCACTGGATAGTCTGGTCCAGACTCGATTATTTACAGACCGCCACCATATTGCTGAGTGTGGCGTAAAACTAAACTCACTCACTCACTCACCCCATGCTTACATCAGGAGAGATAACTCGCACAGATAGCGCTTTGGAAGACCACTGGGAAGAAAGACAACACAAAACCAAATGCCATGGTATGTAATGATTCCAAGAGCTTGTCTGAAATGACGCTTATTTTACATGTACTTGCAAATGCCTCTTGTTCAAAAAGATATTTATGGATATGTATGAAGACATGGCACATGTAAAGACATAAGCAAGTCCAATCAATCCCTATTAAAAACATCGTAATCCACACATGATGATTTGTGTTTCAGCCTCCTACTCCTGTCATGATGGAAGCAAGACACACTTCAACATTTCAAGGTCATGCTGAAGTAAGTATTGATAATGTTGCCTTAAAAAACAAACACTGAGGGGCCCGGCGTAACAGGCCAAACTTTCCCCTTGGCTAAACCTTCCCCGGGGAAAGTTTGTCCTAGGCCAAACTTTCCCCACCCTTGAATCAACTTATAAGGCTACTTGCTTCAAACCCTTGTTCTTATATCAAAAGGGGAGATTCTGGCCAAGCAAGACTATTTCTTCCCCAACCTTGTTTTCATGTTTATGTTTGTCTTGCAAAAGTCAGAAACGAAAACAAGACATAGCTATTCATGTGAACACATTGATAAGATATTCATGTTGATGTCAAGTTCCATTAACAATTTACAGGCCATCTTCATCTTCATATATAACATGTACATGGTTTACATTTTGTTTCAATATCCTTATATAAGGTGAGATTAAAAAGAAAAGCAAGTATAAAAGCAAAGATATTTTATCATTACTATTGTTTTATATTATCATTTACTTATTTTTGTATTTCAATAATTTACTTATTCCCACTTACTCCAAATTGGCTTATCTCAAAATCATTACTACTAGTATATTCGAAACTTTAACTGTACCTGGGGTACATATCTGTAGTACCCATGCATGGCAATGGCCTCTTCAGCAGTATTCAAAGCAACCATCATCATGTTGCCTCCACACACACCTCAAAATGAAGTGTAGTTGACAAAAAATGGCTGCATATATCTCCTTTGTTTCATTAAAAGTCGTATTTGTTGTAGCTGCAGGATCACATATCGCACAAAACCACAGCGGTAACAGGTCAAATTGTTCAATACATAAAAAGTACCTAACAACACAGCAAAGTGCTGCCACATTACCTTAGTTATGATTATCATTATTTTGCATTTATAGAGCAAAAACTGCAATTGAAATAACAATGCTATAATAATAATAATAATAATTACTGCATCAAAAACATTTTCAGTCATTTTCAGTGTGATTTAACTAAATCACCAGTAGATGGGGGAAACATGGTACTTAAACTCTCTTACAGATTTCTCCTGCTAGAGTTTGATGGAATGATATAACTTGTTCAGTTTGGATTGGTCTAATCTGGTTTAATCTGGTTTGGACTGACCTATTCTTTTTTTTTGACTAGTCTCATCTGGCCTGATCAGATTTTGACTGGTCTAATCTGTTTCAATCTGGTCTGGTCTAATGTGGATTGGACTTTTTTTACTTTGGTTTGGACTGGTCTAATCTGGTTTAGACTCATTTAATTTGGTTTGGACTGGTCCAATCTGGTCAAATCCAGTTTGGACTTTTTTAGTGTGGTTTGACTGTGTAATTCAAAGAATCACTTTTAATTCGTCTCTCCTAAGTTCATATCGAAAAGTCAATCTTTGCAGTTTAATGAATCACTTTTAAGTCATTTCTCCCAAGTTCATATTGCAAAGTCAATATTTGTAGTTCTGAGCAGATTCGGGTCAATTTATTTTAAGTGTCCTTACTATAGATTGAGTGCAATAGAAAAATAAGGGTATGTATGGTTATGTATAATGTTACCAGTATCACAACATTAAGATATTCAACTTCATCAATAAAGATACACTTTTGACAAGGTTCTATATTTCTATCAACCTACAAAGATGAATAATGTTGCAGTCAACTTACATGACCAATATTTCAGTATACAGTGGTGTGCCAAAAGTTTATGAACAAATCCCACATGGTGAGTATCGTGAAATTTAATGGTTCATTTAAAATACAAATTCTGTATGACACAGGTGACGTACAGTCGTGAAATTCAACAGGATACTAAATTTAATCCTGCTCTTTCAGCACATGACAGTCACGTGACGTCTTGTGTCATCTGCTTGTTTACGCAGGCGATTTCCGGTAGCAATGGAAAAAAATAGAGAATTGTCAGAGTCTGTTAAAGATTTGGTTACTGTGAAGTTCCAACAGCACCAAACATACAGTGAAATTGCCAGGGATCTTGGTTTACCTTGGAACACAGTTCACAGTGTTGTAAAAGAATTTCTGGAACATGGAAGCATAGAAAATCGCCCAAGAACTGGACTCTGTTGATCGCTCACTACTCGGGATACTAGTCAACTTTTAAAGTATGATTTCTCCTTTGTTGGAAATCACCAAGATTTAATCAAAATAGTATGAGAACTGTCTCCGAGCGTACAATTTAAAGAAAATTATTCGAAAAGGATTATCATAGACGTGTTGTTCAAAAGTAAATCCGGATTAGAGATGTGAATGTGAGAAATCGCCTCGCTTGGGCCAGAGGAAAACTTAGATGGAGAATTAATGAAAAATGGAGCAGTCATCTTCAGTGATGAATGTAAAATAGTTATTGGAGAAAACAACTGTGTGTATGTGTGGAGAAGGCCGGGCGAAGAGTACACCCCCTCAGTCCCAGGTGTCATGCACATCTTTCTTTGATGGTCTGGGGCTGCGTAATTTGGCATGGTGTTGGAACACTAACTGAAGGTAACATAAATGCTCAATTGATATTCTTGATTCCGAGTTGTGGCCTGTTATTGTCCGGCATTTCCCGAATTAAAACTATATTATTCAAGAAGACAATGCAACTGTGTACAGAGCCCAAATCGTAGCAGAATATAAACAAAGAAATGACATAAATGGCATTTTGTGGCCAGCACAGTCTCCAGATGCCAATATTATAGAGAACTGTTGGCTTCTGCTGAAAAACCAACTGCGACAAAGTATTGTTGAGCGAGAGATCCGACGCGTGTGGGAAAACATGCCTGTGAACTATATCAGAAACCTGTATTTGTCTATCCCACGTCGTCTAAGGAAAGTAAGTGCTGCCAAGGGATACATCACCAAGTATTAAGGTCAGGTCTTTAATAATTTGGTTGTTACGTGAGTTTGTCGCTGCCTTGCATCTTACCAGAGACGTCAGCCATGTTTGTTCATAAATATATGGTACACCACTGTATAACCCTTCGTACTGTTAAATTAATGAGTTTTGAATGCACTAAACAGTTTTGAAAACGTGTGATACGGACAAATATCATAACTGAATGTAGCAGAAATGTTGCTGATAGATTAATTACATGTAACACAAAGTGCTTATATTCATACCGTTTGTAGACCATCTGCTTTCAGAAAAAAGCCGCTCACATGGAGAGCAGGTGACAAACTGAACTCAAAAAAAACATATCACTGCTCCGTAGTTATCTCCCCTTGTGGCTGCTGAATGCAACCCGCTATAATGATAAACCAAGGATAAACCAAAGTTTAGGCACTTGTATGTACCATAAAAATTCTATGACAAACCTAAGAGACAAATGAAATTCAAAATAAATACAATTTTTCCTTATCCTGACTCATGCTCTTTTGCTTGTCTTCTTCTTCTTGCGAACATAGTGGAACACTTGTATCTCCTTAATTGAAGCTCCCTTCAATGTAAAATCACTAATTAGTACTCACCAAGAGTTGGCTCCCTTTGCCTTTGTGCGGGAAATGGCGGCGCCACCTTCTGGCCTCATGCTTCACTCTCTCCTTCTTCGCCCAGTGAGCAGGATGTGAGAGCGCCTGTGTCTCCTTACACACTATATCCTTTGGTTATTCTTAGTTAGTTACCTCCTATAGGTTACTATAGAGGTATAGCTAGTATCCTTCATTAATATGTATTGATAATTACTCGTATTTCTACTGTTTATTCACGGGATTTCGTGATTGTTCAGCTAGTTGACATTGATGAAAATCTGTACTATTTGTAGATTACGTTTTTCTGCTGCTGACCCGCATGTAATATGCCCTAGCTGTTCTACGCCTTGTGCGTTTGATTCACGTTGCAGTTACTGTATTAATCTATCTAATTCTGCTTTTAATAAATATCATCTTTTCGTCTTGAGACGTGCAGCAGATAGGACACGCAAACAAGGGTTAGACATGGCCGATACATCGGAACCCCTCGCCAGTCAGCTGCTGTTGGTCGACCCCCTCCCGTCTGGTGTTCCGCCAGAGTTTCCCTCGGAGGAGGGGCGTGGGATGCAGTCCACCGCCTCCAAGAAGCGTCCTGCTTCCCCAGACATCCCGTCATCGCAGCCAAAGTCTAAGAGGGCCTCGACGTCTACTCAACGCAGACTCCGTACCCCCAGGGCAGCGTCTACCTCCAAGGGAAAGTCTATGAAGTCGTCAAGAACCTTCTCAGCCGAGATTGTTCCAGCCGCCGAACTGGGCCTCTACGATGATCAGCCGATCATCATCCCTGACCTACGCCCGTTCACAAGAGACGACCGGTGTCAGCTACAGTGACGTCAGCACAGATCGCCATGCAGCCTGATGTGTCTACACCGATGTCGGACGATCTCCCTGAGGGCCCCGCCGCTAACATCGCAGAGAGGGCACCGACTACATCGTCACAGACCGTCCCAGATGACCTGATGCGGCAAATCATGATCATGATGGAGGACCACTACAGACTGGAGAGACAACCAGCCCAGGGCCTGAGCCTTCGCGAAGGCTCCAACGTAGACGACACCCCAGAGGGACCCCCTGTCAACGTAGCGGCCACGACGAAGCCACCTTCGCGAAGGAAGTCACAGACCACCTCGACGAAGGACCCAGATGTACAGCCTTTGCGTAGGCGGGATAGATCATCACCTACCTCGGCTTCATCTTTAGATGCGGACTCGGACCACCAGACTTCACGAAAGCCTTCGCGAAGGTCAAGTCGCCGTTCCCCAGGACCGGACGCAGAGGAAGGGCACCTTTATCAGGCTCCAAATCATCTTCGTCCAGAAGGACATCGAGGGATTCCACAAGAGCTTCGCGAAGCTATGAACATTCACCTCACAGATCTCCGCGAAGGTCAACCAATAGACGCAGATCGTCAGGACGTTCACCAAGACGATCCCCTCGCCATTCTCCATGCCGATCACCTCGCCGTTCACCGGGCCGATCTCCTCGTACATCACCACGTCGATCTCCTCGCAGGTCACCACACAAGTCTTCACAGAAGTCCACAGTCAGGTCTCCCCTAACGTCACCCGGTACA